AGGGGGAAAAGCAATGAACTATGAATATCATATTTTTATGAATATCATATTTTTATTACTTCCTGGGGCCATAAATCTTTCTAGGGGCCATAAATCACTCAGTTTGACATAAGGGGTATAATATCCCTCCTCACATGTCCTGGACAAATTTGTCTAGCTAGTGTATAAACTTGTAATTTATCACAAGGGTTTTTAAGTAACACCACATAAGTACTGTTCAGACTGATCTTTCTGCTGTGTTTACCCTGTAGAAACATATTCTGAGTCAACATCAGGACACTCATATTTTTATGGTGTCTGTACTGTGTGAAAATCCAGACCACTTCTGGATGATTTGAAGCTTGGAAAAATAACATCATCCAGTACAATGAGAGGACTCTGGTGTGATGGAAACAAACTCGCATCTTCAAAAGAATCAGGGAGACCTTCAATGAATTTAATGCTTTTATTTTTCTCTTGAAGCTCAGAATACAGAGGCTGAAAGGATGTATAAACCCACACAACATTGTCAACAAGCTTGTTCAAAACTTGTACACAGTTTTCCAATACAGATTTCACAAAAAGTTTTTCCTGAGCCACTTGGCCCGACAACCATACAGGAAAATGGGATTTGAAGTCTGTGATCAAACTTGATTAAAGCAGGCTGAAACATTAATAAAAAAGTTAAAAGAAAATAATCAAAGGGTAAAGTCAGACCTCCTGGAGCAATCTACGCTTGTCATAAACAACACTGAATTTTTTGGGGGGAATGATGAATTTTGTAGTGAAAAGGCCGCTTTTTTAAAAATGACACTGTGCTGAGGGGCCTCAAGTGTAGACCCTCCTTCACAGTTATGAATGTAATTGTCAACAAGGTTCTTTACAGATTCAAAGTTGACCCTCTCGCAGACATCATGTGTTTGTGTGATGCCTTTTGCTTTCAAAAGAACTTTACCTTTTTCGGTCATGTACCCATAACTTTTAGGTCCAGCTGCAATAAAATCATCCTAAATCATAAAATCATAGGTCAGTTGCAGCACAGAGCAATTTACTAAGTAACTATAGAGTTTGATACGCTCATATGAAGTAGTGAAGGCCGCAATGAAGATGTTATCTGTGGAGTTTGGGAGTGGAGTGCAGAGATCACCATAACACCATTGAATAAGAGCCACATCATCGCTGACAAAAGAGAAATAGCTCACTTTGTATTTTGGAGAAATCATGAGGTTAAAGAATTCCTCGGGGTCACTCACCAGTTTGCTCTGTGTGAGATTATTTCTCTGCTCAAATTTATCCCAAAATGAGTTTAAACACAGTTTGGCCATTTGTCTTTCATCAGGGTTTAGTTTTATGTTTTCAGGGTCTAAAGTGATGCCTTGTTTAGCCTGGTAGCAGCTGTTGTTTTATAGGCTAAAACAGGAAAATTGAGTCCTCGGGTAAACAACCGTGATAAACCCAAAGTAGTTTTTAGGGTCCTGAAAATTTCGAAAGATTATTGCTGCTACAGTATAGTGTACTATAGTGTACTAGCACTTTTTAGCTCCGGGTGATAAAGGCGAGCTTATATATTTTTAAAGTGTATTCCAAGTGTTACAAACCCTATTTGCATGGTTTTTGAAGATGAAAGGTTTGACAGAATGGTTAAAAGGAAGATTAACACTTAAGGAAAGAGGCGCCAGTTGTTGTTGTTGTTGTTGAAGTGGTCCGGAGGCAGGGGCCTATGTGAACTCACAAACAGTCTGAGCGGCGCTAGTTGTTGAAGTCAGATGTCTTGTGGGAGCGCAGTGCCAGTCTTAACCTCAACGGGAGATCATAAAAAATCTCATGATGTGATATCCGCGAATTTTCGGGTATTGAAAATGTTTTTACATTAATCCGGGAGATGGGATATATATAGGATAGGATATAATGCATTGGCTTGCATGAGAGCAGACGCATGGCCTACGCGCACAGCGGGGGACACCGTGACTTTCCATATGAATAACGAGGGTCTCAGAATATTGAGATGGTAAGTCGCATTTTGAGGCGCCATGAGGCTGAAAGCATTGCTGGCTCTCGTGAGCTTAACCCTCAAATCCACATTATTGAGCAATAGTCTTACGCAAAAAAAAATATCTGAGTGTAACGGGCCCATGACGTGGAACTCTCGCGAGCATTCACTGTACACAGCCCGCCGGACTAATCCTCTGTTAGGTCCATTATTTACAACATGGGAGTCATGGGTGCCTGCAGTATCTTTGTAAAACAGACCTGCATTAAATTGAGTTTTCAGACTTGCTTCTGAGTTATTTAAATAGGTCTCGATTATAGCCCTATAGGGGGAGAGTTGAGCTGGCTTGTGAAATCA